GAATGAGGTTGAAAGATGTGAGGCTATGTGCAATTGGCCAGCCCATAACCATTCACACTGCCCAGGCCAAGCACACACCCTGTTGCTAACCTTCTATGGGCTGCTTTTCCCTCTAGGCAGGCCTCTGTGTATGGTGAATAATGGCTTCCAAGATGAATTTAGGGTCATGGGGATGGAAAGTTGCTTTTCCTTTGGCTCTGTACCTTTTAGTAAGTTCAGTGGTTTCCCTGCATCCTTCTCTCTGCCCTCATACTCATGTCTTTGCTGAGGCATGTTTAAGGTAGCAGTAGAACAGAGTAATAACTTTTACATTTACTCTATAATAAGAATCATCCTTTAGATGTTTACATATTTAAATGTAAAAGCCTAAGCATTTTATAACAAAGATCTTTAAAACAAATATCCTGGTTTTTGTTACCTTGAGTATCATATTAACCTTATAATAGCAATTTAAGAACCATTTTGAAGATGTTTACATACACACGCACACAAACGTTTTATAAATTAAGCATGCCAGAAAAAACGTCAACTTAAGCACGCATAAAATGAGTCGGAATTCCAGGAGGTGAGTAAATTTTGCCCATGCTTTAAACAAATTCACACACACACATTTACACCGAAGTTATAACAGTTTCCTTCAGAAGTCCCTGACCTGTGAAACTCCTCTCGGAGGTTCCCGGGAGTGGATCAAGCTCCCCTTCCATCCAGTGAGATAGGACGTGACTTAGGACTGATTTCCCGGGGGTGGTGCTTACCAAGTCTGGATGAGACTGCCAGATGAGTTGGTCCACTTCTCCGTGGAGTCCAAGCCAGGTCAAGACTGCTCAGAGAGTTGGGGCACCGGGGCGAAGGAAGACCCAGAATCCCATTGGGTGGCACGCCACCTCGTTCGGTCCCGTGTCCCTCCCTACTCCAACGCAGCCCAGACTCCAGCTGGTGGCACAACAGGCCAGTCAGTTGGAATCTCGCTGGGGCCTCCAAATGTTGTGGCAATATAGTCAGAGGAGAAACCAAGCGACACTCGTAGGTAGGAGTGGAGAACTCAGATTTTAATTTTACACTAGCGGGTCCAGATGTGTACCTGTGTCTGAGCCCTGAACAAAGGATTCACAGGATATTTAAAAGGCAGTGCAGGGCATCAGGTTACAAGGAATGCGCTCTCCCATCAATTAGGGGCTACTAGTGGATTAGTTAAGAACAGCAGGGGAGTCCTGCTTTTGGAAAGTTTATTTACAAGTGGAGACAAAGGAATGCAGGAATGAGTGTTTATCTCTGCATGGTGCCCCTCACCTGGATCCTGAATTTTGCATGGTTCTACTGGGTAAATTCCTCGTGTTTTACAGCTCTGTCTGAGGTTACAGCTTTTCATTGACAGCTTACCATGTTTTGCGATCCTGTTTCAAGGCTATCTTCCTCTTCAAAATAATCAGAATAAAATAGTTAAACTACCTAGGATAAAATGAGAATATACTTCTAAATAAAATAAGTTCATATTTAAATCATATATTTAAAAAATACTATCCTGAGAATGAAATTTTATTAAACTTCAATATGATGTAAAGCTTAATGACTGAACAACAATAATTAATTTAAACAAAATGAGAGAGAAGTCAAAATTACTTTGAAAAGAGGCCCTACTTTCACAATGCTGTCAAGTATACTAAATTCAGTTTTTGGCATAAAGACACAGCCTTTGGAGTTTAAAATATCACCACTGCATGACGATATACATAAAACTGCAATTATTATTTATGTATTAGTGGATTAAATAGTCAAGAGGCTATACAATCTAGACCAAAATTAAAACTAAAATGTACTAACTAAATGAAATAGAATGGAATTAAAATAAGATTCCTATTTAAAGCATCTATTTATAAAATATCATCCTCATCATTATAATTCTATTAAGCTCTGATTTGAGGTAGTTACTAAGTAACAGTAGTAATTGAAAGTGACAATGAGAGAAGTCAAAAGTATTTTGAAAGAGATTTTACTTTTGTGTTCATCTACAATTATGGTAACTACATTTTTGGGCATAAAGACACAACATTTGGAGTTTAAGAAAGCCAGTGCAAGATGACATAGATAAAACTGCAAGTAATGCTTATGTAATAGTGTACTAAATAATCAAATTCAAATCAATATAATACCTGGTGCTGTGGCAAACAAGGACCCCCTCCCCACCTCACCCAGGCCTTTTCACCTTTAAGAGCCCTGAGTTGTTCTGGCCGCCAAGTCCCAGCTCTCAGTCAGGAACTATCCAGGGCCACTACATGACCCAGTTCTGACCTGCTGGGGGCTACTGGTAAAAGACAGGCACAGAGCAGAGTCCCCTTTGTGCTTTTCTTTCCTGCCATGAAGCTGCTGTGGGAGGAGGTGATGTTGACCTTTTGGCAGCCATCTTTTGACTCTGAAGCTCCAAACTTTGGGAGAGAAAGCCACCATGATGAGGAGTTCACAAAGTTCTGAACAAGTCTCCTCTGGAACTATTCCCAGATAAGCAATATCCTCGTATTTTAAGCATCAGTAGCCCATTCTTTCTCCTGCTTGCAGCCCAATGCGTTCTAATGGATTCAGCACCCAGTGCATGAGCTGAATAGATGAAAGCACTTGCTGTGTGCCCCATGCACTTTCCTGTGTTCATTCAGGAGTCTTGCAAGGAAGGTCCAGGTATTATTCTCAGGTCACAGTCAGTGTGGTGGCACATGCCTGCAATCTCAGCACTGGGGAGGCTGAGGCAGGAGGATCCCGAGTGTGAGGCTAGCCTGGGCTGCATCGCAACACCCTGTCTCAAAAAGCCAAAGAACCAGAACCCCTCTCCCACAAACGCAACATAAAGCACACAGATGACAGACGACACGGACACACACGCGCGCACTCACACACAAACACACACAAAATGAGGCATGAGTGCTCAAGTCTTTATTAAAAGTTGGGTCATCTTACAGTACCATTGTCACTAGGAATGGGGAGGGATAGGAGGAGTATCCCAGAGGGGTCTGAGGGAGTAAGAGGACTGACTGGACGGGATGGGCTCCACCACAACTGCTGAAATGTTCAGGCAGTGCGAGTCAATTCTCAGCCAAAGCATGGGATTTGTGCGTGGATTTGGAGGTAACTTTCCTTGGTCATGGGCATTTATTGAATCCCTTCTGTACCCCAGCTGTCAGTGACAGACACTTTTCAGGGGTTCTTTGGCAATGTTGGGAGATATCTTGTGTTTTCACAACTGGGGAGGGGGGTGCTCCTGGCATCTCGTGGGCACCACACGCTGCTATGGCTTGCAATGATGCCCTCCCCCAACTAAGAGTTATCTGACCCCAAACGTCTCTATCCTGGGTTAGAGAAACCCTGCTGTACATCAACTTGCTTTCTTAGACTCACATTTTACAAATTAGACAACTGAGGCTCAGAGAGGGGAAGTGTCTTGGCCAAGGTCGCCCAGCCGGTTAGATTTGGAGCTGGATATGAAGGCAAGCCTGTTTCATTCCCCACCCACTAACTCCAGTTGTGGGAGATAGGATTAATTTCAAGTTCTGGCAAATGCGGCTCAGAGAGGTGTTGTGACCAGTCTAGGGTCACACAGCAGAGCTCTTCCAGTGACCTTTATTATCCTGTGAGACACTCAGGAAAAGGCCAGCCCCCTTTTAGAGTGAGTCCACTCCCCACACCCAGTGATCACTAACTCACATCCCGTTATTCTCTGCCCAGGACAGCTTCCCTCACTTATACCTCAGCCCCAGGTCAAATGCCACCTCACCCAAGATCCCAAAGAAACAGGGATCTGGGGTGGAGGGGCAGGGCCACCCCACTCCCTCCCTGCTTTTAGGGACTTGTACTGTTTCCCCTGAGGACACTGGGAGAAGGATTCTAAGGTCTGGAAAGGAGATAAATAAGCAGTAATGTTCCTGGCCCAATGTTGATTATAGTCTAAAAGGGGCATTTAACTGACTCAGGGAATCTTCTGCAGAGACTGTGGGGCAGGTCAGGGACTCATGGGTAGGTTGGAGACAGGGACCAAGCCTAGAGATTAAGCACCACATGCCCTAATCATTAAGGACAGAGACTTCCTAGGTGCTGGGTTCTGATGCAAGAATTTCCTATGGAGTGACCCCCCAGCCCTGTGCGGGCCCCTGTTGCAGGACACCGCTATTCTCCCCTGTCTTGAGGGAAACGCTGAGATCTACAGGTTAGGAAGCCGGCCCAAGGGTGCCCTGCCTGGGAGCTATGGAGGGATCTGGGCAGCACCTGAGTGGCTGGTTCTGGGTCTTAGAGCCTCTAGGTGGATCCATACCTTCCTCTAAGGCAGCTGAGGACATTGCCTAGTGGTTCCAAGATTATCAAGGTCACGCAGAACTGCCCCACCAGAAGCTGGGCTACTCAAGGTGTTACCATGGGTGCTGGGGGCACAGGAGGGCCGCTGTCCCTCCAGAGAGGTGGGAAGGGCAGGGTCACCTGCCAAAGAAGTTTAGGGAGAAGAGGGAAAGAACAGAAGGAAGGGAAGAGGAAAGAGCGAGCCCGCACAAGCCCTTAGGCGCCTTCCAAATGTCGCAGGGGGCCCAAGGACACCGAGCGCCAGGGAGCCAGGGGAGTGGGCTGGGTGGGCCTTACCGGGTGGTGGGCTGGCTCAGAGCGGCTCGCTGCCTGCGGTTCAAGTCTGGCGCGCCGGCCCCGGCGTGGCGGCTGCTCGGCGAGTGGCGCGTGTCGGGTGGGAATGGCGTAGATCGCGGGGGACGGGAATTGGTGCGGTGGCCTCTGAGCGCCGCACGATCTGCCAGCCCCAGGGTTCCTTCCGGAGCTTCTGACGATGGCGCTGAGCGCGCAGTGCGGCCTCCCGGCCCCGGGGCCCACCGAGGACTGTGCGGCGGCAGCGCGGCGGGCACTTGGCAGACGCTCCCTGCGTCCACGGGCCCTCGCGCGCCACTCCGTGACCCGAAGCCGTGACCCGATGCCCTTGCGCCCATCCGGGATATGGCGCTCTAGGGAAGAGCGGACACCGCGCGTCCGCGCAAGGATGGAGGCCTTCAGAAGCACAGGCGGTGACCCCAGCCGGCGACGTCGCGGCGGGCGGTGCCCACCCCGGACCCTGCGCCCAGCGGCCGCCAGCGAGTGCAGGAGTCAGCTGTGCCTCCGCCTCTGCGTCGTCAAGGAGACCCTGGGCACCGAGAGGGACTATGTTGGCACCTTGCGGTTCCCTCCCTCGGTGAGTGTCGCCGGGGCTCGGGGACAGCCTCCCCCCCGCCCCGCAACCCGTGACTTCAGCCCCGGTGGGTGCTCAAGGAGCATGGGCAGCGCTGGCGCGGGCACCAGCACCTCCACTCCTGCAGGTCTCAGGCTCGCCTGGATCCTCCCAGGGTCCCCTGCTCCCAGCTGCCAATCGTGCTGCCCTTTTGTCTTTTTCTCCCAGCTCTCCATCCTTCAACTAGTTTAAAATGAGTGACATCCTCAACGCATGATGCATTGAGGATCCTTCAGTCACCTGGTCCTTCAAGGCCGATTGGTGGGACAGACTAAGCTACTCTGATCCAGAAAAGGAGTAGGATAAAGCCCAGAGGAGCTTGCCAAAACAAAAACTGTGGTTTTGTGTTGTCCCTATCTTTTATTGTTTTAAAAGATGTCTTTTGTGCAGGCTTTGCACTTTCTAGCAGGAGTTCTACCCCTTAAAGCGACACCCCCAGCCTGTAAGATTTCTTGCACTCCCAGTGTCACAGGAGGAAGAAAGCTGAGGGGGCGCTGGGGATGGGGATCTCACTTTTGATCCCTAGTCATCCAGACAAATGATCTGCCTGGTCCCTGGGAGGGTTTGTGTAGTGGCGTGTTTGGAAACCAGGGTGGGGAGAAGCATAGATGACGAGTTGACTTTTGGGAAAATCTTCAGTAAACACAATGTCTGCCTGCTTAAGGTGTACAGAGTGGCCTCAAGGAAACTCATGGAAGGCGGTGTGTCTTTGGAGGAGAGGCTAGCAGATTAAAAAAAGGGAAAAAAGTAGTTAGGAAGAAATACGTTGCAATACCTTTCATATAAAGTTATGCATGTATGTGTGGACTTACTTTGAAAAAACGCCAACAGGAAATGTTGCGTTCATAGCATGGTTGTTAGAGTCCACCTAACATGATGCAATATTAACACCCATGTGGATAGCCATTTTCTATGTATTTAACTTTGAGAAGTTTCTGGAAACCAGACACAAGAGAGAGCAAGTCGAATATCCCGAAGGACAGGCCTGAGGGAGCCTGTCATTTGATCCCAGGTGGTCTGGCTTTGCATAAGCTGACAGCCCTACCCCACCCTGACTGCTTCAACATGGTGCTGTGGTTCATGGGCCAAAATGACTTGCCTTGGTGACTTGACTGGCTGCCCTAATGTTGCTTGAGAATGGAACTCTAACGGTTTTGGGATGCCAGGAAAAAAACTTTTTTGATAATTCAAAACCTGTGTCAGCCTGGGCCTCCTTGCCTGTGTGGGGCAAGTTAGAGCACCAGACAGGCTAGAGTTGGGAAGATGTCAGATTGGTTTTACTCATGACAGGCGTGCACAGGCAGCTGTCTGTACCTTCGAGGCGATATATATGGATGTTGAAGAATCAGCGCCTCCTGCAGACAGCCCAGTGGAGACAGAGCTCAGGTGTGTTTCATGGACGCCCAGTCACATTATTCCTGGGCTGGCCCTGGTGGCTGTTCATGTGTCCAACTTTCAGGAGAGATTGGATGGTCTTGGTGTCCTGGCTTGCGGGATCTCAGTGTCTCCCTTTCTGGACAGTACTCCCTTTTATCAGACTTGTTTGGGCACGTTCCCCTCTGCAGAGAACCCACATCCTCTGCCAGGGCAGCGCTCCTCAGAAAAACCTGAAGGGTTGTTGTAGGTCTGGGAAGCCAGCTGTGCTGGGTGGAGAACCTGGCCCTTTTCAGATCATTGTGTGGCTTTTCGTTTCCCAACAGACAAGGCTCTGGCAGGGTCTGCAACACTTACACCAGCACGAGGGTCCCCACCGACCTCGCCTCCCAGGTATGAGCAGCAGAGCTGATTGTGGCTGCTGGTGTTAGGGAGGACAGAGTTTGGAGAGTGAGCCAGGTGGACTTGTGGGGCTGAACCTGTAGTGTCTGCAGGGAAGATTTTGTGATTCACAAGAGTTGAGGACAGCCCTGCCTGGTTAAGGGTGTGGCCCTGCCAGCTGATCAGGGTTCCCAATTCTCCAGATCCCCTTTCGTTTAGCTCATGTTTTTTCTTTAGGGACTAGTGTTTTAGCTAGATTCCAAAGGCCCACGTTAAAGGAGGTCCCTGGAGGACATTCTGGCCCCAGCAGCTTGATGGGGGGCAAATTCTTGTCACTCTCCCAGTGTAAGTAGTGGTTGGTATTTTGGAGTGTTATTAGTGGTTTGTCTCTAGAGGTGTCCTGTGAAGTTGCTACCTGTCACAGGTAGATGCCAGGAGCAGGCACCTCCCCAGTGGGGGGACAGTTAGAAATGTCTGCAGACCTTCTTCAGGCTGTCCCTTGGTGCAGCTGAGTTCCCAGCTGAGAATCACTGGGGCTTAATCCTCTTGCACCCTCTTTGCTTCAGGGACCTTTTGGGACTGACTTCAGATGGGAGCAGTGTGGGCCCCATGTGACTGCAGGTGTCCCTGTGTGTGTGTGTGTGTGTGGTGTGTGGTGTGTGTGTGGTTAGGCAGGTTAGCAGATGTGGGTTTGTGCTTGTTGCCTTGGGGCCTCATGGCTCTGGTTAAGAGCACAACCTAAGGGGACTGGCCACAGTGGCTCCACTCAAGTGGTAGAGCACCTGGCCTAGCAAGTTGTGAGCTCTGAGTCAAAACCCCAGTGTGCCAAAAATAAAATGGGAAGGGGTTTACGGGTGAGAGGCATGTGGCAAAGCATTGCCATACTAAACTGGCAAGGCTCTGGGGTTCAAGCCTCAGCTCCAAAAATAAATAAATACAATTAAAAATAGATAAAAGACGGCGAGGGGCATAGGACGGGTGGTGCGGGGCGCAAGCCAGGGAGCACGCCAACGGAGGGATGGGAAATCAGGGGACGGCGGCGGCACTTGAGAGGCGGTCGTGAGGGGGGGAAGTGGCGAGGGCGGAGAGAGGGCCCCGAGGGGCCGGGCGGGAGGGAGACGCGGGCGGCAGCGGGGAGGTGGGGGGCACCACCCAGGAGCGTAAAGGCCAGAGTTCAGGCCCCCATTGTGACCTGGGCACAGTCCTTTGCCTCTTGGAGCCCCGTTTCCTCATCTGTAAAGTGGGGTGAGTGACGATGGATAGGAAATGAAGTGAGGGTGTGTGCTGTTTTAGATGGGATGTGGCCTTGTTTTAGGCAGAGACTTGAAGGAGGAGGTGTCTGGGTCCTTGGGCGCTGAGTGCAGGCCGGGCTCGCAGGTTTCCTGGCTCCATGGAGAAGCCCCGGGGAAGGGAGCCCTGCAGCCTCACTGTGGGCATGGGAAGTTGAGTTTTATTTCTCAGCTCCTGCAAGAACAGAAGGGAATCTCGCTCATCTTTTGTCTTGTGGTCAACACTCACTCTGGGTTGCTGTCTGGCTCCTTCCCAAGGTGGAATTGAGAGCCATCCCTTGATCCTGCACCAGGGGAGGCGAGGCTCCTAGGCTGGCAGGACTGGGCCGAGATGCTGGTGGAAGCAGGTGGCTCAGTATCTTTGTGTGGCGTCTGGGGACCTGGACAAGACTGTGACTGTTTCTCTAACATCAGCAAAGCCATGTGGGTGACAGTGGGCTGAGGGATTTGGTGCAGGAGGACATTCTGCCATGTGGCATTGGGTTCAAGTGCTGAGGTCTGGGCCGCTCTGTGGAGTCAGCCTGTCGGTCTGATGGTCTGATGCTGGTCTCTGCCCTCCGCGGTTGTGTGACCCTGCGGGAGGCGATGCCCTTCCCTGGGCCTTGGTTCCCTCATCTGTAAAATGGGTTGGGCAGTTGGCTCAGTGCCTGGCAGATTGCTTTATTTATTTTTGTAATGTTTTTGTTTGTCTGTACTGGGATTTGAACTCAGGGCTCCACGGTTACTACACCAGGAATTCTCTTCTACTGTGTGAGTCATGCCTCCGGCCTGAAATAGTTCAGATTCTTAGCATTTCCTACTTTCTGCACAAGGACAGTCATGGCAGGTCACCCCCCCAGCACACTGCCTCTATTTCTTCCTGGGCTTGAAATGTGCAGGTCGGTTTATCTTGACCAGGCAGCCCCGTCCTGGGCCTTGTTCTCTGCACTCTGAAGACAGTGGGGAGCAGAGGTGTCCTGTCATGGAACCGAGGATGCTGCCCCAGGCTCTGCTTCAGGAGCCACACAAAAAGTTTGAAGAGACTCACCCCCCACCGTACAGCCACCCAAAAGCTGGAAGAGTACCCTGCTCCGGCCTGCTGGGGACTGTCACACACCCTGTCTCCTTTGCACCGTCACAGGGCTGTAAGGAGACTCAGTCGTCAGGTCCTTGCCCGAGGTCACACAGAGACACGAGGTTAGTTTTCTGCCTCGGCTTAACACACCGATACAACTTTGGTGGCCTAACACAGCGCTGCTTATTTCCTCGAGGTTTCTGTGGGTCCGAGGCTGGGTACAGTGTCACTGAGCTCTGCTCCGGTCTCAGGAGCTGCAGCTCAGGAACTGACCAGAGCTGTGAGCTCAGCTGAAGCTGGGGCAGGAAGGGGTTTTGTTTGTTTTTGGACCTTGGATCCAACCATAGCCTTCCCAGAGCCCCACCCCATCCTGGGACTCAGTTTTGCATTCTGTGCAGAATTCAGTTTATAGTTCAGAGGCCTCACTTTCTTGCTGGCTTTCAACTGGAGATCACTGTCCTCTCCTAGGACCACCTCAGATCTGCTATGCTACTGTATCACACATGGCCATTTCCTCACAGGTAGCAGGTAAATCTTTTGCTTCGAATTTGTCCTTTTAGGAAGGACCTACATGTGTCCATGTCCATGTTTTCCTCCCATCCCCTCAAGCTTTAGTGTCTCAATTCTCTTTTAATTCTCACCTGATCAATCCAGGCCCACCCAGACAAAACTGATTTGAGACCTTAATTACATTTGCAAAGTACCCTGACCTGTGGTGTGTACTGTATCAATTATGTGTCGTAAACTAAATGTGCTTCAGCTCACATCCACACCTCTGCTAACGTGAGGGGCATACATGTAGGAGGGAGGAATCTTGGGGCATCTAAAGACTCTGCCAGCCAAGGGTGGTTGGTGGTGGATTTTAACTCAGGACTGGCTGATTTTAGAGGTCATGTTCTCACTGCTATTTTGTATGTGTTCCTCTTTGACCTGGGTGGAATGGCCACAGGGAGGCAGCTGGTGGGCTGTGGAGCCAGCCAGGTTTGTTCTGAGTGAGGTTGGGCATGGGTGGGTGCAGTTCCCCCTGGCAGGGCCTGGTCTTCCTAACATCTCACACAGCCCCTCTGCGTGTCCTGAAATGCTTTCCCAAGTGCGTTGTCTGGGAGGAACCTGGAGCAGGTGTCTCCTTGGCACTCCTGTACATGGGGTTTGGGCTCAGACCCTGTTGTGGGGAGATTGTCCACCTGTCCCTCTGAGGAGGCATTGGTGTGGGTGTTACCTACTTAACTCCCTTGATGGGGAGGGGAGGAGGCTGGTTCATTGACTTCCCAAGTCTGAGGCTTTTCCAGGTAACTTACTGCGTAGTGATTTCTAGTTGAATTCTCTTGTGCTCAGAGAATGTGCCTGTGTGTTTCAGCCTTTTGAAATGGATTGAAATTTGGTTAAAACCTGCATATGGTCCAACTTACTTACCAACTGTTCCCGAGCATTTGAGAAGAGTGTGTGGCCTGTGAAGGGCATGGGAATGCCTTGCCGATGGTATCCAGGTCACGTGGCTGGTGGTCGTGGACAGTCTTGCTGGGTTTGTTCAGCTGCTCTCTGAAGAGACTGTGGAGTCTCCAGCTGTGACTGCAGACTTGTGTTTCCACTTTAGTTAGTGCATTTTCAAGTTATATGTTTCAGAGATCTGTGTGATGCCCATTGGTGATACTGCATGAATCAACCCTTTGATCATCAGGAAGTACCTCTCTCTGTCTGTTTGTGCTCTTTGTCCTGAAGTCTGTTTTGATACTACAATGGTGGTGTCATCTTTCTTTTCTTTCTGTTTTCTTTCTTTCTCCTTTCAGCTCTTTGTGTCTTGATTATTTCAGCCCATGTCTTATAGGCATCAAGCAGTTGGTTTTGCTTTTTTAAATACATACCGACAGTCTCTGCCTTCTAATTAGATAGTTTACCCCACGTATATTTAATGTGATTATTGACAGGGCTGGGTTTAGAGCCAGCATTCTGGTTTGTTTGACAGGATAGCAAAGATGATAGAATGTCCCTTTCTCTCCCAGCCCCACTGTAGTGGAGGTAGAAGGAAGGAAAATGGAGGTCCTGGCTTAGAGGGCACTGTGGGATCAGGCCTGGGCTCAGTACACCAGTTTCTTTTCCCCCTTCACTTGTTCTGCACTGACCTCAGCAGCTTTCTTTCTGGTCATGAACTCACTGTGTGTGTCCAAGTCTTCTGAACTCTTCCCATGGCACTAACAAGCCACTTTGACTCCTGATTTATGAAGGCCTCTCCCTCCCTCAGCTCCCTGCTCAGGGCCACTTCCTCAGCCTCCCAGGTCTGTTTTCTTCTGAAGTAACCTTGGCTAAGTCATTGTCTCCCATTAAGACCGGAGTCTGTCTGCTGTGGTCACTGGTTGGCCCCACAGCCAGCGCATACAGGCGCCCTGTTAATTTGATGAAGGAGAATGCATGGGTTAAATGGGGTCTCAAAGTGGCAGAGGCCTTCCTGGTGGCACGGTGACCTTGTTTGGGGAGTGTGAGCCCAGGTTGGTGGTCCTCTTCGGTAAGGCTCCTGGGCTGCCTGCCCTGGCCACACTGGGAAGATGGAAGGACCCCAGTGTTTGATTTGCCCGTCAGGGAGTTGTGTATGGTAGCAGCGGCCAGGCCAATGAGTGGGCTTTGTGAGACTGATCTCCCCATTACAAAGGGGTCAATACAGTGCGGTGCGTGTGTCTAAGGGACATCCCCCAGTCTGTCTGTCTCCAGCACCATGTGAGGTAAGATGATGTTTGTGTACAGAGCTGACTGGTGTTACACATCTCTGCATGGATGAAGGCACAAAACCAGGTGTGGGTGTTTATGGGCAATTTAGTGCAGTTTTCATTCTCTCCCCACCCTGCACAGGCATATTGTTGTTTGGATTCTTTGGGGAGTAATTTTGTATTCAGGCCCTGAATACTCCAGCACCATTTCTTCAGCACCAGAGTATTCTCTTAGATAACCACTGCTAAGTGAACACAATCAGGAAACTTAACATTGACACCTAGTCATGCACCCCACAATCCATATTTCCCCCTCCCCTCATCCTTCATTCCCTCCTCTCTCCCAGGCCCACATTGACATGCCAGCTATGGGTGAGGCCAAAGGTAGGAGGACCGGCTCTTGGCCACATCCAGAGACCATACCTGAAAAATACCTGAAGCAAAATGGATCAGGCATGTGTGTCAAGTGGTCAGCGCCTGTGTAACAAGCATAAAGCCCTGAGTTCAAACCGCAGTGCCCCAAGAAAGAATACGTTTACTAAAGGGGCAAAGATGTGTCAACTTTATAAGTCTGAGTGAATTGATGGGTGTGAGAATCCTAGAAGCAGACTGTTAGAAAGGGAAACTGAGTCACCAAGTTGCTCAGTGGCTTGGCCAAGGGTTACCAAGTGAGTGTGGGGCTGAGCTGGACCCTGAGCCCAGGTTTCCTAGCTCCTGACCCCGTGATTCTGCTGTGTCCAACAGCTAACACCTCTAGAGGACTTAGCCCATGATGCTGACCCTGTGCACCTGGGGCCTCCCAGGGCTCTTGAGGCTTCACCTTCAGACTGAGGTTTCAGTAAACTGGGAGTTTGGGGGTGTTTTCTGGTGGAAAGTCACTTAGTGTGCCCTTGCTGTCTGCTGGGTCTCGTGCTTGCTGAAGCAGAGCCGCTCACTACTGTTCACACCAAAACCACGGGTTCCTACCTGGGGGTCCTCAGGCCAGATCAGGCGTCTAAGTGCGTTTTTGTCAGCCTTGCACAGTGTTTTAAAACTGGCTTATTAGTTGTCAGTGTCTCAAGAAGTTATTCAGATGACAGCATCTACATTCAAAATGTATTGCACAGCAAAGCCTGCCAGTATGGCATAAGCCGTGGTATCTCATGAGAGATGTGACTGTGACTAAGGAGTGCATTTCTGAAATAAAATTGGCAAGACTGGGATGTAGATCCATGGTGGAGTGCTTGCCTAGAGTGTGTGAACCCTGGATTTGATCCTCGGTACCGCAAAGAAAAGTAAAAAGAAAAAAAATGTGTGCTTGAAGCAGGTTTATGTGAGTGCAGTAGAGAGATGACTGTTGAGTCATTGTCAGTGTGGGCAAATCCAGTGTCACCTGTTACAGGAATTTCTTTGAGTGTGCACTTGAGGAGGATGGCATGAGTAATCTCCATGTAACCTAGGACCTGTGACCATTGCAGACCAGAAGGGGCAAAGTGGCTCCTGTTAGCCAGACCTGGCCTCAAGGCTTATTTGCTTTGTCGCTGCTGTAGTTTGTGTAGTTGGATCTGGAAGATCTTCTAAAGGCCCAGGTGTGAAGGGATTTGTCTTCAGGGTGGTGCTATTGGGAGGTGTGGCTAGAGTTCTTTGGGGTATTCTCTCTGTCTCTCTCTCTCTCTCTCTCTCTCTCTCTCTCTCTCTCTCTTTCTCTCTCTTTCTCTTACACAGGCTACGTTGAATTCAGGATCCTTCTGCCTTAGCCTCATGATCAAAGGTGTACACTACCAAGCCTGGCTGTAGATGGGATTTTTCAAGATTAATTTTGGTCTTGTTATGATAAATTTTAAATGCACATATGAATTTTTAATGATAGAAATTACTTGAAGCAACTAGATCTCTTGACATGACTGTGCTGTCTCAGTAATGTGTGTTATAATTGTGCTTTCGTAGTGTGGATTTGACCTGCACCATAGAGTTTGATTTCTTAAAGGATACCTGCAACTACTGCCATTCAAATTCATGCTGGTGACATGGAAAAATGAGGAGGCTTCATCCAGTTAGTCATCATCCAGCAGGTATGTGTGAACATGTGAAACACTCTGCTCTGTCCCTGTTGTATCATCAGAGAACCCAGACCACACCCTGCCTTCTGGCAACACCACTACAATCCAGAAAACACTAGACCACAATGAGCTTGTTCAAAGCCAAGGAGGAGCCAAAAGAACTGAGACATGTTAGAAGTCTCAGTCACACAGGGCCTGGTTATGGAGGAGGACACTGTGGGGATTGGAAGAGAATCAAAATGCTTTTAAAATGTGTTTTTAAGAGTAATAGGAGGGCTGGAATGTTCAAAGCATGTTATATATCCAGTGGTGGAATCTATGGTGAGGACCAAGGAGAGGGTGTATTTAGTGTCTGGTTCATTCCTGGTAAAATGGAGGCCAGAGGGTTGTAACTGTAGGGCTGCTGCAGCCTTTATTCAGGATCACATCTCATATCTTGCAGAACACTGAGCAATGCAACCTGGGATTCCAACCCTACCTGACACTGAGAAGAGACAACCAGACCATGTGACAGGAGATGTGAACTGACTCCTCTCACATCCAGGTGGTGGCAGTGACTGAGTAACTCTAACATTCCATTTGTCCGTGGTGTTACCCAGCTGCCTGAGCTGGTCTGAATTCCTTTCTCTAGGTTTTGGCACTGGAGCCTTTGCCTACACATCTGGAGCAGGTTGGAGGCTCTGTGACTACACCAGCTGAGTGGGGATTCCGAATGAATAATACCTGAAGGTGCTTAGGTGGTTAATGTGTGTAAGGTTTTCCCCATGCGTTATCTACCTTACCTTCCCAACCCTACACAGTCCTGGCTAGGGCAGCATGGGCGATCACCCCACTAGTATTTAGGGCAAAAATTGGCAAGTTGGGAAAGGATCACATGGCTCCAGACATACTGGTAGAGTCCTCTCTTTTCTCATTGATTTGAATTCCTTTGTCTAGATCGGGTACTGGAGCCTTCACCTCTGCCTCTAGGAGCTGAATGAAGACTCTGTGACTGCCCCATCAGATAAAAGACTGTCTGTCCCACATGAAGGAGTGGGACTTTGGCAGGGAGTGTAGTAGGTAAGATAAGTGCTTCCACCTGCCAGCCAAAGACACCTTTGCTAGAGCATATCTGGAGCTGATGATGCATAACCCTTGCCTCACATCAGCAATAAATCTTCCATACCTGATCATGTAGGAGAATCCCAGGTTTACTGAGCTTTTAGGAGAGGTGTGCACATATAAGCTATGGTTCATTCTCCAAACAGTGTGAAATGTAATGAGGGGATGCGCTATGGATAAAGATGTGTAACACATTAAGGAAGACCATGAGGAGAACAAAACAGTCACGTAGTTTAGCCCATGTTAGTTTACCTCCAATATTTTCACAGAAGTGCTGCTAAGATAAACCTGAAGAGATAAGAACACGTGATTTATCATACGCAGTCTACGCAGTCGTGTTCCCACAGGCACTAGGTTATGGAGGGACTCCACACAGTGCAGAACCCTGTGAGGTGTGTGCTGTGCTTGTCTGTAGGCTATGAGTAGTGAAGAAGTTGGTACAAATGCACAATTATTAAGGTTTTGTAGTATCATGGGAGTCTTGTAGCAGAGAATGAGCAAAAGAAAGAGGGAGAGAATTTAGAGAGAGAGAGAGAGCTGTGCTGGGAGAGATGAGCATAGAAGTTGGTGAGAAAGAAAGCTATGAGCACAGCTTGAGGTCACATTGTGTTAGGCTTTCTATTTCAAGGGAAGGATATTTCTGAATATCTTGGCCTCTTCCTTACTTTCTGTGAGACTTTGTTGACAGATACAATCAGTGTGTTAGGAGGATTAAAGGAGTCTGTGTTTAGGGTAGAGATGCACAGAGAGAGGAAGCAGTTGAGTGTGCAGGACTGAGACACCTCCTGCCATGATGCTGAAGGTGGAATGGAGGTCAGAATTAGCAAGTAGCCAGATGAAGTTTGGAAGCAGGTAATGGGGAGGACAATGAGGACCTGTCACATAGGAAAGTGGAGGAGATTGAGAAAGGAAAGCAGTACCAGGCAAGAAGGCCTGTGACCAAGTACCCCTTGGTCTGACCACTGGAGATCCAGATGAGCACTGTCTGGATGTCAGGACAGAGAAGGTGGGACATGAACTGGTTGACATTTACTCTTCACATGTACAACAGGAAAGAGGCTTGGCATTCTGGATACTAGGCAGCTGGACTGGAACTGATCACTATTTGGAATCAGAAGTCCTGGATTCCTCTTGCAATCCTGCCATTAATTTTGTCCTTATGTCCCTGGGGTGTTATAGCAACTGTAGTCACTTGAGATTTAAGGGAATCTCTGCTTCCTGCAGCCTAGGTGAAATGAAGGACACAAGGAGATCCATGTGAAGAGCAGCTACAATCCAAAGAATCCAGTTCTGTATTCCTGACCGGTACCCATGCTTAGTAAGAAAACACCAAAAGGTTAGTTTTCCAAGCAATCTTAAGTTCTTTTTCTTTATGCTGTATTTCAATTAGTATCACTAATTCCAAATTAGCCATGGACAAATGTTCTGTCTACAGCCATATGGTAACCTGATCATTTTGTCTGTGAGGTTTTTCTTAGAATTTGGAATATATGGAGGCTAGATCAATCTTTCAAGTAATGTCCTCAGCACATTATCTGTCATTTAAATGGTTTCCCATGATGGTGCACCCTGTAATCCTACCTACTTAGGAGGTGGAGATCAGGAGGAATGCGGTTGGAGATAAGCCCAGGGAAAATGCTAGAGGCCCACATTCTCAGCAATAGGCTGGGCATGGTGGTTCACACCTCTAATACAACAGTGTACAAGGTATATGTACATTTCAGTTATCTGAAAATAACTAAGGCACAAATTGCTGGGGATATGGCTCAGGTGTGAGAGCACCTGCCCAGCAAGTATAAGCCCTGAGTTCAAACTTTAGTTCTGCCAAACTAAACAAAGACCTATCCTTACTTCACAGCTCTTGGTCTGCTGATTTGAGGTGCTAGTCAATGGCTGAGCTGTGTCCCCATTCCTTGCTGCCATCGGAAGAGGAAAGGTAAATACCTATGGCAACTGGATGTATTTTTCTATGATTAAAGGAATTTACTGATGAATAAAGAGCAATTCCTAAAATAAAAAATCATTAAGGAGCCATTTTTAGTTGTTTATCCAAGAGTAAAAATCAACCTTGGCATGGTAAGTGGCTCAGGGAAACCGTTGTGAGTCAGTGCCCCTGGGAGATTCATGGTGTTATGCAGGAAGGAAAGGAGATGTGGTCCTTGGGAGATCAAAGGCCTGAGGAAAAGGGAGAAGAAAAACAGGAAATGCTATGTGAGGTGTCCTGATTGCTGGGGCAGAAGATTTTGTGGCAATTCCTTATAGGATGTACATATTATGGGGACAGAGAGGTGACTACCAGCAAGAAAGTTAAATCACTAAATTATGGGGGAAATTGCTGAGATGTGAAACTAGTTTTTCTCTGATTCATGTCAGTCATACTAGACAGGGTAGGTCTAGGAAAAGCTAGACAGTACTCCTGAAGGAACAGGGCTAATGTGGACTGAATCTGTGGGGATGGGGAGGGATTGGTGGATTTGTGAAGAAAACTCAGAGAGTGCCTTGACAGGAGGATGTTAATAGTCTCACCTTCATGACAGATAGTTTCCATAGTCAGATAGAAAGAGAACACAGAAAGCAGTTGATGGTGAGGAAAATGAAGGCATATCACACAGGAAAGCTCAGAAGATTGAGGAAGGAGACCAATGTCTTGCAAGAAGGGAAGAGAATTGAGAGCTACAGATAGAGGACCACTGGAGATTCAGGTGACCACTATCTGCCTATCAAGACCCAGAAGGTGGGACATGACCTTCTGGAAACATAGTCTTCAGGTATAAAACAGTACAAGAGGCTTAGAGCTTACTATGACTCGGAGACAGTAGTCCTGGGTTGCAGTTGCAGTCTTACCACTATTTCAAGCCCTTAAGTTTCTAAAGAGCCATAGCAACTCCACACAATTTAATTTTAGAAGACTATTTCCTGCCTGTAGCCCGTGTAAACAAGGGACACCAAGAGTTCATGTGAAGACAGTTAAGATCCAAGATTCCTGATCCTAATCCCTTTTGCATACCCAAGCTGAATCACAAAACATCAACAATTTAGGTGGGCCCAGTACATGGGAAACCATCATTGTTCTCAGCTGTGAGATGTAGGGGAAAGACAAGCCTGGAACAAAGGAAAATTTACCTAAGATGGCAGTGAACAACAGCCCTCAGAGAGGACAGTTAGGGACCTTTCTGAGGACAGTACTGGTGTCTGTCCCATGCAAAGAGGACATTTGTGTATGTCCGCCAGTCTGAACACTGTAGCATCTCATCTTCTGAGGCCACTGGGAGAGGTGGATCTGAGCAGAATGTGCTCCGAAGTCCTCAAATTCCAGATCAATGTGTCACTGTTTACTTAGGGGTTGGTAGGAATATGTATAAAGAAAATAGATGTACATATCTCTGATCCTCAGTTTTTCTTGTCTTTAAAATAAGTAACTCTGAATCAACCTTTTTTGTAATTAAGAAATTAGCTGATTTACGACTGTGAGCAGCAGTCAGCCGCAAAGATAAAGCATGATCTTGGTAACCCATCCCGAATTACAGGAATAGTCACTGGTGAAATTTGCACCTGTCTGGGCCTCAGTTTTTCTCTTTACAAGGATGATGAAATGTAGGATATCTAGGAGTGCTCTCAGCTGCAAACTTTTCTGTTCTAGGATTTGTGCATTGCCTTCCTTAGGGCTCCTTTGTATCACAGTTCCTCAGCCTGTAGAGGAAGGGATTAACCAGGGGTCGCTTCTGTGAAGATGACAGCGGCTCCATATCCTGACTGAGTAGGAGTTTGAAGGTCACATGTAGACACTCAGTATTGTCCCATAGGGGAGAGACCACAGACAAGTGAGACCCACATGTGGACAGGGCTCTCTGTATCCCATGCACAGATGGCAACTTCAGTCCATTAGAAAAGATGTATGAATAAGAACCATGAGGTATGTAAAATGTGTCAGAAATATCAGTGCACCCCCAGTGAAGACCATGAGGTCATTGACAAAGGTTATCAGAACAAGAGAGCTTTAGAATTGGGTAGGGGTCGCAGAAGAAGTGGCACACAGCACTGTGGGAACAAAATTTAAGGTGAAGTAGGAGAAGAGTGTGTCTGACAGCATGCAGGTTTGTAATGACCCATGATACGGCCACAAGAAGGGCACAGAAAGAGTCTGGGCCTCATGCTCATGGTGTAGTGGAGTGGACAACAGATGTCTGTGTAGCCATGATAGGCCATGACACTCAGGAGGAACCTGTTCATGTTGATGAGGTGACTGAGAAGTGCATCTGGGTCACGCACTCTGTGTAAGAGCTGTGATTGCTGCCCACTGTGATTCACCAATATCTTGGGGACAGTGACTGATGAAAAGGAGACTGTTGTATCTACAATGAACATTTTGTGTTGTTTGAAGGGTTTAGCTGTTCAGGATGTGCTAGCAGTAACATGTCAGGAATAGAATCTAGGAGGTGGTAAACGGTTTCTGTAAAATTCTATGAAATTGCTTTGTGTCTGAAATTTTTAAAATTAAATTACTGGATGTAGTTCTGTTTACAGTGAAGGATTGTGTTATAAATGGGCCATACGAGGCTCTGAAAGTGTACATGTTAGCAGTTTAGGAGTGGCAATCATTACTTTTGACAATCTCCCCTTATCCATTCTCAAACACTGTCAAATAATGCACTGCTTTTGAGGGAGAGTATGAGATGATACAATGAAACCAAAGTGAAGAGAGCTCTGATAAAATACTGAATTCCTAAAATGGTGTGTGCACACACAGAAACACATCTTTTTTTCCCTACTATTTGGCAAGACATGAATGAGGTGGAGTGAAAAGTATTTCAAAATGTATGTCACCAGTCAGAGCCAACCGCAGTGGGCTTACTTACAGATGAGCTCAGTCTTCAGGTCTGTTCAGAATTCATCCACGGAGCATGGAATAGTTGGTAAGAATCATCACTGCAACCCATTCATAATGCTCATTTTTATTTCCCTCCAATATGCTTTAACATATAACATATGAAGTTAAGTGTACACTTTTTAAATATCAAGAAAGGTGTCTGACTCCAAATACGGCATCGAATCTTCTCATCATCTCAAAAGTTCCTTCAAGCTACTTCCTAGTTAGATCTTGAATGGTCCCAAAGTTCGATGTAGTAAAAATTTATCTTTTGTGGTACTGGGGCTTGGAATCAGAGAATACACCTTGAGTCACTGATTAGGATTTCATCAACTATTTGCCCACACTGGTTTCAAACTGTGATCCTCCTGATCTCTGCCTCCTGAGTAGCTAGGATTATAGGTGTGAGCCACCAGAGCCTGCAGTAATTCTTTTTTTTTTAAGTGGTATTGAGGATTGAAGTCAGGGCCTTGAGCTTGCTGGACAAATACTTTACCAATTCAAACAGAATCCTTTTGGCTTTTAGTTTGTTTGTTTCAGATAGTGTCTCATGGTAAAGTTTGCCTAGAATGGAATTGAAATCATGATCCTCTTGAGCAGCTGAAGTTCTGTCTGTTATGCCACCATGCCTAGCTGAATCCCATCTCTTAAAGGTTCTACCACCTCAACACTAGCACACCGAGGACCAAGCCCCCAGCACATGAGCCCTTGGGGACAAAGTTTGACCATGTACATGGAATAGCCAGATATATCCCAATGACCACCTCTCAGTGAGAACATGACTCCACAGAACTTGTGTCTTCTTGCTCTAGACCCACCAATTAGAACTCGCCAAGGGTAACCTGCTCCAGTAGTGCCCTGGCCCCCAATAAAGATGTGAGTCTACAAGTATCATGTGATAGCAAGAGGAAACAGATTGCGTCAGTAACAGACATAGCTCATAAATACACCTATGCATTTTAACATCCTAAAAATCTTACACAGTGGGTAGACCTATGTCTAAGATAAGATAGGTGTTACATTCCAACCATCCTTCAAGTATTGTCTGGATCAGGAGTCCTCATTTCCTCCACACTCAGACTATTACATTGTTTCACTCATGTTGTAATAAGGAAGGCAGACAGCTTGTGGTATCAGACACTTCCTTCAGAAGTGCACACAGCTGTTCAGCAGCTGTGTCCTCTGATGTTTCAAATGGCAGCTCAGGTACAAGGAAGCAAGCCTCACACGGGCTTTGGAGCCCTGAGTCCTACCAGAGCCAGTGTCTCTTAAATAGCCTAAGAGCATAGTTCAGTTTCCAGTGTCCCTTCATCCCATGATGTACCTGGACAGGTACAACTTACCCATCAGGAGTCTTTTTATCACGAACAAGGTTGACTAGTATTGCAGCTGTTGAATCTTTTTGAAGGTTAGCAAAGCAATCAGAATCGTAGATAAGGTTGCTTAAGAGCTCAGTTGACATATTTTCTTGTAGGTTATCAGAAGAATGGAGCTAATAAGCAATCCAAGAACAATTTCTTTTACAGACAAGAAGAAAGGATTTTGTTGGTACACATGCAGTTATAGAAATAATCAGAAGATCCTGTGTATCCTTTACCTAGATTCCCCATGGAGATATGTTGCAAAGATGTACCACAAAACAACTCATTGGTAAGTTTGTTTTCTTTCTTGTTTTTTTTTTTTTTTTGTGGAACTGGGGTTTCAAGTCAGGGCTTCACTTGTAAAGCAAGTGCTCTACTGGGGAAGGCAAGCTGCACTGCATCTTGCTCTGGTTCTGAGGAAGTGTTTACCCTGGCGTTCCTCCCAATGTAATCACCCGAAGTAGCTGGGATGACAGGTGTGCACCCAGAGCCTACTGTGACTAGTTTTTGTGTGTTGATTTTGTATCATGCAACCTTGGCGATAAAATATTACTCAAACAGTTATTTTTGTATGTGGAATCTTTAGGACATTCTGTGATCAGAGATCAGTTTACTTCTTCCTTTGCAGTTTGATAGTTTTTCTTTCTGTTGAGCAGTTTCTTTTCTTTGGCTGGAACTTTCAATGGTGTGTTGAAGAGGAGTGGTGTGAGTGGCATCTGTATCTTGATCCTGGTCCACAGCGTGGGCCACTTTATGGCCTCCACCTTCTTTTTCTTCAGTGTTTTCATTGTTTAAATAAACAAGTACTTTCACGTGGTGACCCAGCTCTTCCTCAGTGACAGACATTGTTGGTTGTCTTGATTCCTGTTTGCATTCTCTGCTTGAGAATTCTCTTGATTTCCTGACATTTCTGTGCTCCGATCGTCAGCAGTCCACTTAGGCAGGCAGCACAGGTCTTGCCTTGACCTTCAATGGGTGCTCTAGCAGCTTCTAATTGACCTTCAAAAGGTTAACAGCAGGGGCTGGGCATACAGTTCAAATGGTAGAGCACCTGCCCAGCTAGTATGAGGCTCTGGGTTCAGTCCCTAACCACCACAGATATAAAGAAATTGCCAACATTTTTTGATGTTTCATCTTTCCCTTCTGCCACCCCAAAGGGGCATCAGCAGAACCTCACCAGACAAAATGTTCATGTGTTGATGAATGAAGGCTTCTCATGCGACATCAAGCTCAGAAGGACACTTAGATCTGCAGCTCTGGCCTAGAAGAAGTTACCGTGACAACTTCCGGTAAGTTCTTTTTCATTTCCATTCATCAGCAGGGATTTTCTAATATCCTTTGTGATTTCTCCTTGGATCCGTTGACTGTGTATGATTGTGCTGTTCTATAATACCTGAGAAAAACAGAGTGTTGGCGTCTAGTAACTTTCCCTGAAACACCCCTTAACCGTTCCCTGAGACTCCTGCCAAGTGGAGGGGACAGTGACAGTGGGCCAAGAGTGACATGCTGGGATAAGGCCACCTGGAGGGCCACTGACTCCCTGTCATGCACATGAGAGTGAGGGCAAACTAGTGTTATCTAGAAGAGCTCTGCTTCCTGTTCACCTTGTAATTCAGCTATTCCTGGGAGTGCTGGTCACACAAGCACAGAGCAGGCTGAGCTGATGTGTCACGACTGTGTGGTCTAAACCCTAACCCTCTCCCTGTAGTAATTTGGGGTCATAAAGGAGCACAGGGGAGAGGCAAGTGCTCTGGGTCCTGCTGACCACCACGCACTTCAAGGTGCTGTGGTGGTGAAGGTATAGTTACTGGCATCACTGGTGAGGCAGCACAAAGGACAAAGTCGCTACTTGTCCAGCCTGTGTTTTCCGCTGG